GACACAGACGAGAGGGCACACTCGAGTCGAGGGCTGTTCAGAGCTGATCAAAGCAATTCATAAATTGCGCATACGCCATGTGGGACGGCGTCGAGGAGTTGTTAATGCAATAGATTCACAGTTGATATAGCTAAGTGGCAAAACTAGCTGCCAAAATGCTTCTTCTTGGCCCACTCAGCAACTGTAGCCAGATAAAAATGCATAATTAAAAAGCCAAAGGCAGAGCCAGAGCGAGAGCGAGAGCAGGACACTCGAAGAGCAAGAGAGAGAGAGAGAGAGAGAGAGAGAGGTTGGGCATTTTATGGCTGTTGAAGGGGCTATGAGTCGCATAAATTCGCATTCACCGCATCATAATGTCCGCAAATCCTGGCTCTGGTCCCTTGCAATATTAATAAGCACTCGAAAATGAAAAGGAGTCGAGTCAAGGCGAGTGCTGCTGGCCCGGTCTTTAAGGAATTTTAATGGGCTTTGGTCAGATTCAAAGCGAAGGCGGATCGAGGTGGGCCGAGCCGGGCGGAGCTGCCGCAGTTTACCTTTTGCATATTTAATGAATGAATTTTAATGAAAATTAAATCGAAATGTGCGACACCTGAGCTACACAACGCACTTGCGATTTATATATACATACATACTTTAATCCATTCTGGGCTAGCAGATGTACAGAAGAAGTCTTGGAGCTACCCGTTGACCAGTTGGGCGAGGCGAGCGGGGCGTAGCAAATGGCGAATGGCAAATGGCCACGAGCGGCAAATAAAACATGGCCCGCTGATTGATGACTTTGACTTTTGGCCATAATTTATCATAGATATCAGGCGAGTCGCACTTATTGTCCTTGTTGCTGCCGTTGCCGCTGTTTGGCTTTTGTCAATGGCAGCGAGAAAAACAGCCGCCCAGCGGCAACAGATGACGCTCATTCTGTTGAAAAATGTGCACAAAAGTGTCATAAAAGCCGAGCTGGAGCCGCATCGCGCCGAGTCAGACAAAAGGGGCCCTGTCGTGGCCGTAAACTAATTGCAACAAATAATAAAAACTAATAGGCTGTCGAAAAACGAGGCCGGCGGGCAAACACAGCTATCAGTCGAAGAATACAGAATTCCACACACACCCACACACACACACACACACGACATTTGCCAGTGAAAAATGACAATGGCAATGGCCGCAGCACAACAACAACAAAAAATTGCAAGCCATGGCAAAGGCAAAGATCATCATCATGAATCATCATCAGAGCAGTCATATGACACACACACATATACGCACATACACAGAGACAGCTCTCCACTTGAACTTATCCATGTGCAAGTTAATGTCCTGTCAAGAAGTCGCTGCCTCCAAGCTGCGTCTCTTAAATGTCACAAATTGCTGCCATGTCTTGGCCGCGAATGCGGCGCTTAAACGAACTGAGAGAGAGAGAGAAGGAGAGAGAGGGAGAGGGAGAAAGAGAGAAACAGATGGAGCGTGAGACAGACATAGTGGGTTGGCAGGTCTTACAAGCGCATTATCTAAACGCTCACTTGAGTAAGAAACGAAAAGTTTTCAAGTATTTTTCATAAGGTGCGAGAAACGCATTAATTTAACTAAAGTACCCAGAAGCAGTCTGACTCAAATTTGTTTACACTGTAAGTGTATGTCTGATTCTTAGGGCATGAATCAACGGGGCTTAACTGGTAGAGGCAGCCGTATGAGATTAGCAGCGCTTTCAATTGGTCTCTGAATAAGTTTTTATGCTGATTGAGTTAAAAATTTATCGATAAAATATTTGAATATCATACCCATCAATTATGGGTAAGTGGAAAGGAAGGTGGCTTTAGCACCTCTTTGTTTGAGCTCTCTAATTTATATGGAAAATCAGAGTACAGCCCAGAAAACAGATGGACAGATAGAGGGACTGAGAGATGGATGGAAAGGCGGTCGAACAGGCGAATGAACAGATGGAAAAATAGAAAGACGGACAGGCGAACTAGTGAACTAGACAGAGAGATGAGCGGGTAAACGGACTTACAGACAGGGCCAAACCGGCTCAGCTGTTACTTCGGCCCACTTATCTCACAGCCACACCCATTTAATCTTATTTTCAAAGAGCTTAAGAATCATAAACCCTCTCTTTGCAATTCTCATATGCTCACAATGAAACCTTAGCCTTTGTGGGTTGTGATTGTAATACCAAATAAGTTTTGTTTACATACAATCTCTAGTCTGCACTCAATATATCTTTGAACAGTCTTATCTATCTTTTGATCTCCCATTTATACATATATTCAATTCATTTGCTTTTATGCAGTCTCCATTTGCCCCGCACATTTTATTTGCTCGCTCCATGTCTGCATCATCTGTATGCTTAAATCATTTGGGAATTTCGTATTTTCCATTCGATTAGTTGCACTGTTTTCACATTTTTCCAGCTGATATGTTTGTTATGTCTCTAGCCAGCGCTGGCTTTATTTGCAGATCATTTTTTTGCTAGATTTCCATGGTTCATTTTTCCAGTTCTATGCAGGCGAGTCGGTGCTCGCCGAGTGACACTTTGGCATGTGCGGCCAATTAGTGATGGCAACGACGGCTGCAAACAAATAAAAATCGCTGACGGCCAATTCCCGGCAGCCCGACCACTTCAGCAGCAACAATGCCACACGATGCAGGCGATGTTGCTGTCACTGCATTTTGTTGCAAGCTGCGCACATTTTTATGAGTTTTTGCCGTCTGTCCAACGGGACGACTGACTGACTGCTCTGCTCAAATGGGGAAATAGAGACATGTTGGCTTTTCTGCTTCCGATTTGCAATAGTTGACGTTGCCATGTGCCACAACAAGCACACGCACATGCACACGCACACATACAGACATGTATCTGTACACATATATAAGTGTATATATATAGATGTTGCTCTATGTGCAACTTTAGCCATTGTTGCACAAACAAATCCTCACACTGCCAGGCAGGCAGCCATGCAGCCAGGCCACATATGCTAATACATGAACGCAGCCAACCATAGAATGTTCCCTTGTCATACCACTACGCCCACTCAATCCCAACTAATCCCTTCAAGTTTAGAGCTGAATAAAAAAACCCCCAAAAAGTTTTAATCGATAAAAGTTAAGCAGCATTAAATCTGAACGACATTCAGCCGCACATCAGTTCATGCAGCTGATAGAGAATGGCATATGTAAATAGATGTAGATGAGGCCGACTGCCTGACCGATTGGAGATCAGGCCGAAACGTGCAAAGCTTAAACCTGTCAGCTTAAAATCTCTGCAAAGGTGCTAGTTTATGTGAAGCTTTTTTATGCCGATTGTTCTAAATGTCATTCTACTATATCCAATAGTTAATCTGAAACTTGAAGTTGTTTATTCCACTTGGTTTTAATATCATATTTCAACTTTTTTTTTTTTTTTTTTTTTATTTTTTTTATTTCAACTACTTCCAATAGATGACATTAAACCCAATCAAATTATATAAGTCTGAGTCTGCTAAGTTTTATTTTAATCCCATTTCTCTATTCTATCTCTAGCTGAGCACATATTCTTATTTACATCTACTCAGCCTATCTAAGAGTTCAATTTTGTACAGCACTCATGCATAATTTGTTCAAGCCCCTTAAAACCTTCAACACAATGACATACCTCCGCAATGATCTCCCCAATTTTCTACTTCTTTCTACTTTAACGATTTTGTATTATAGTTTTGAATACTAGTAGACAGCGATAAACATAGCATATCGGCATCGAATGAAGCCGGATTGATCGATTCGAGCTGACTCGTTCCGTTCCTGTTCACGACGAACACGTCGAAGTTACGCAGATTGATGACCAAACGCTTTTGAATCTCGGCCACGCACATCCTCAATATGTTGTAGGCCTGCTTCTGCTTCAGCTCGTGTGTCCAATACCGCTGAAAGATGCTGCCGCAGAAGAGGCTGCCCAGGCCATGGCCAGCATGATTGATGGGCATGGCCGCGCCATAGGAGTCGATAAAATGTAGATCGGGTCCCTCAACGCTGTCGTAGCCAGCCAACAGCATCGAAACCTGATACCTGGTATTGGTTCTTATATAATCGGCCAGATTCTTGCGCGTAAAGTGCGCTGCACCACGCGGACTCAGATGATAGCCATTCGATATATTATATAGTTTCAGATGCTTCGCAATATAATCAGTGAATTGCAAAGTGTCGCCGCCATCGCCTATTGCGGCCAATATTGCGAAATCAGAGAGGCGATGAATTTTCGACTGGTCTAGAAAGCAAATTCAAAGATTAGAAATTTCGTTTTGTTTTTGTATAAATAAATGAAGATATGTGTATTTCAGCGAGTCTCCTCTGTACCATCTCTCATAAAGATCACAGATTTCGCCTGCATCGTATCACAGGCAAGCATCACACAATCCTCGCCCTTGATGCCCAAGATCGTTTCCATTGCCATCTTTAAATTCAATTTTGATATTTTCCAAAAGCTAAACTATAAATTTCATCTGTGACTTTGAGAGAAATTCACCAGACAAGTTGATTGGTTGATAAATTTGTTGATAAGCTTATCTACCTTAAGTGTTTCAATATTCAAATGTGGAGAATAAAATCAGGATAAGAGTATATAAATATGATTAAAGATAAATGCGATTCCAAATGGTAAATTTTTAATAGTATTTGAAACGAGCTTTCAATAAAGTTTTATTTATTCTTAGACATTATTTTTGATTAAGTTTGATATATGAACACTCTAAGTGCATCAATATAAAGATTAATCAAAGTAAATATTTCGTGATTGCTAGTTCAGAGCAAAATACATTTGATATTATTTGTGGTATTTAAATATAAGAAAAATTAAGAAAAAAAACTACTTTTAAACTTTGATATTACTTTGCAATTTAACAAATAGTGCTTAAATGTGCTTTCAATTAAAATATATATGAGCTTTACTACTTGAAAGCTTTTAGAAAAGATTTCCTTCTTTCTATGTGTTACTTAAATAAATTTCATCATCCACTCTACATCCGCTTCTCATATTACTTTGATCCACTATCTGCGAGCAGCGTACAGAAGGAGTAGGCCGCCTTGCAATTGGCCAGAAAAGTGGTTAGGGCAATTGGCACAAAGTTGCCGGCCATTTGTTTAGGCAAGCGTCGAGTGCGCTCCACGAAGATGAGCACGCTCTTGCGGTAGGACATGCTCTGATCGACCCAATTGCTGCTATAGACGGCATAGTGCAAACGTCCAAACGAATACCCCACCATGGTCCCAAAGTAGCAAATGGGAAATATTTGCATGCCCAAGGCGAAAATAAATGAGCTGAAGTAGACTTTGTCGTTCATATTCTCAGCGTAGAAGATTAGAGCGCACAGGGCGGTGCCGACGTCAATAGAGATCACAACGAACTGCACCAGCAAGGGCCACGAAATGACCTCCATGGTGAGCTCGTGTAGCCTGGGTATTAATAATATTAATAGAGATTTTTAGAGCAATAGCAACTGAGAAAACTAACTCAAAAATCTTCTGATGATCACGAATGCATTCGATGAGCTTCCATTCATTAGCGCGCTGGTCACTTTGGTCATAGCCGATGCTCGAGAGTCGCTGGATGAGCAGCTCGCATTGGCCAACAATGATCACGAAGATCATTGGCGGAAACAGATCATCCACAAAGTTCTGCAGCACTTGTACGACTATTGAGAGGATCTGGTGACTCACCGCAATTATGTAACTGGTCAGCGATGAAGTCCAGTCCGTTGGAAACCAGGCCGGGAATGGTAGCGAGCGTTCCTTTTGAAACAAAGGAGGAGCACATGTAGTTAAAATAGCACAGCAGTAAATATATTTGTACACAGTAGACATGATGACTAATTTCCTGGCCATTTCGGCCTTATAGGAACGTTGTTCATCCGTGTCCGCACGCCTGTCCAGCTGAGCCACTCGCTGCTCGATCTCCACAATCTTCTTCAGTTGAGTGACATATACTACGAATTTTACAGAGGCGCACGCCGAGGTGAGAGTTATATTGAAGTTGATCAGATTGTCCAGCGGCAGATCGAAGCTGAACATGCTCATGAAAAGCATCAGCGGCAAGCACAAAGTCACGAGAACATTAAGCAGCACAGCAGCCCAGTAGCGAATGGTTCCATAATTCCCGTCATACAAGTCGACGCCGCCCAAGGCGTAATATGCCGACCAAAGAACGCCGAAGTAGACGCTTTTTTTGTTGAAAATTGTCGACATGACTATTACGTTCTTGACCTAGCTGATTGTTGAACCGCTGAGCCCAAAGTTCGAAGCTTTTATACCACACAATGGCAAGGACAGAAGCTCAAGGTCATTTTCGCAATTATCGCCAGCAAAACCACGACTAATTGCAGCCTGTAAAATGCCGCTGTAAATGTGTGTGCTGCAGGCAGAAGGAGGCTTAACCGACCCCACATAGTATACACATACATCGGTAATCAGGTAGAGCTCAATAGATCAGTGGGCGGTGTTAACAATATTTCCATTCGATTATCAAGTGATATTTCGAGACATTGTACCATATATGGATAGGGTATGTCCCAGTCAAGCACTCCCACCTAAAGTTTTCTGACTTGTTTAACTGCAAGTTTTATGCCATATGGCGAATTTCAGTAGGTGCAACGCAATCAGCAGGTGGTACACTCCTTTATTTGACAGAATAATAAATATCATATCATAAAATCGATTTTCGATGCACTTAATATATTATCTAACTTTCCAGTAAAATCTGTACAGCAAACGAATCTCATTTTAATGCATCGGGGATTAGTCGTTGGGGAAATATCTGATCTGGTACTGGTTGGGGGCAGAACGATTCCAGCTTGCGAACGCCACTCTTGTCCAGCAGAAAGATTTCGAATTGGCGTAAATTGACTATCAAACGGCTCTGAATCTCTGTGACACACCTACGTACTATGGCCAATCCATCTTCGATGCTGAGGTCGGGCTTCCACATGGTGTGGAAAATGCTCATGGATACTGAGTGTCCGATGCCTTGTCCAGAATAGTTGAGGTACTGCAATGCGCCCTTAGAATCGATATAACACAAATTGGCTCCCCGTTTCATATCGAAGCAGGCAACCAGCATCGAGACCACAAATTTGATCCGGCTGGCCAAGCTCGACAGCAAATGCTGGCGCGCAAAGTGTATGACTATCGGCGTGTCCATGGAATAGCCGTTCGCGATTTCGTAGAGCGAAACACGCGTCGCAATGAAGTCCGCAAACTTCGTGGAGTCGCCTTCATTGCCAATCACGCCCACCATGCTATTGCTCGAAAGGACGCGTATCTTTGAGCAATCTACGAATGGAGAAGCCGCAGAAGAAAAGAAGGCACCGTCTCTGCATCAAGCATGCTGACTTATTGATACTTACTATCCCTCAAAAAGTATATGTTCTTGGCCAGCATTGTATCGGCCGCCAGCATGACATAATCTTTGCCCTTCAAGCCGATGACAGTTTCCATTGAAATTTAAAAATAAAAAAAAAAATAAAAATAAAAATAAATAAATAAAAAAACATGTATAAATAGTATAAAAATAGACTACAAAACTGAGATTTAAGTGACACATAGAACAAAACATACTATAAGTAACTAAACACCTCTAGCTATCTAGCTCTGATTTTACTATTCAATAATAAATTTATAATTGTTTATTTGTGAAACAAATCAAAAAAGAAAACAATAAATTAAGAAAAATAAAAATAAATCATTTAAGTACTATGAAGAATACATATGTATGTACATATTAGCTAATTGAAAATGTTAGAAAATAAATATTAATCTTATATAAGTTTGACTTAAATCTCATTCGAAATCACAGCTTGAATTTCAAATAACGTTTCGCTCATACATACTTGTGCCATATAATCAATAAGCAAGGTAAATGATTTTCAAAATAGTAGTATCCCAATAAATGAATATCTAATCTGTACAGACTATACATTAATAAAATGAAGGCTTACAACTTTAGCTATGTGATTAAATAATAATAAACTGGTTCATCTTCGACATTGCACGTTACACTGGACATTGCCTCTGGCTTTGGGTTCGCCATTGGCATTGGCATTGGCATTGCCTACTCTCACATAAATTGCATTGCAGTTGGCTATGGGGGAGCTCTACGAGTGGCTCACTCCGAAACTCGTGGGAGCGGGTGGTACTTAAAAAGCACTTTTGCCTCACAATAATTTCCAGCGTTTCCGCACTTGAACACGCTTCAGGCATTTGCCATTCGCAATTGGGATTGGGATTGGGATTGGGATTGGGTTTTTCCCATTATCCGGGCGCTGCATTTTACTGTCTCTATTGTTTGAAATTTTAATGTGATGGAAATGCGAGCGTATTCCGCATAATTATCGCATCTATTTTATTCTCATATTTTTAAATGGAAATATATTTCCGCAATTAAGAGCATATTTTCTAGCACTCTTAAAATAATGATGACGTCCGACGTCCGCCTTTGTTGTTGCCATTTCAATCATTATAAAATAATTACCGCTGCAATTAAAAGCAAGAATAATGCCACAGAACGAAAAGCCCCAAACAAAACTTTAGTGTCTTGATATTTGTTTATCAAATATGTATATATGTATTTATTTACAATGTATTTATTTTATAAACTCTTTATGCGTTTCGTACTGGCAGTATCCCCGCATTTGTTGGCAATTATTTTACGTATGCGTCGTTCGTCCACTTTGCAGTTTCGTTTAACCAGCTGCACAATGTCGCTGATCTTCTGCGGATCGAGCATATTGGTCGCAGACCATTTGCGACCCTTCGAGTCGATTTTAATGCCAGATAGGTTCTTCGTGCCGAGCGTCTCCTTGTCAAACACAGCGTCCAAAAGGGCGCGCGTCGCCAGCGAATAGGAATCCCAGGTGATGCTCTTATAAACACTTCGGGCGACCCTCGTTCGATAGTGGCCAATCGGGACTGTCGATCTGTCTCCCTTAATTTGAGTGCTTTCGCTCTTAGCAGTTGTAGTTGGCGAACGTTGAACTTCTTGACACTCTGCCCAGGCAGCATCGTGTTCGGGCAAGATGCTCTTCAGGTTCTCCAAACGCAGTTGGACTGCCGCCAAACGATCCGATGGCTCAGTTTGTGTTGCTCTCGATATAACCGACATATTAAAGGGCTCCAAATAGTTTGAAAACTTCCAGAAATATCCAATATAATCAATCAGATGCTCGAAGTGCAGGTTTGCCATTCACCTCAACCTCTGCAGCGACGGAATGAAATTAATCGGCCAATCGATAAGTGTTGCTAAGCTTACAGAGCTTGCCGATAATCGAAAAACTATTCTGTTAAATTGTGAGTCAATCTGAGAGTTGGTTTTCTGGCTAACGGATTCATGAGGTTGGGCACTGCTATTTAACATGGAAAGGTGGAGCGGCCTGCGCTACATACACTCGAATGAAGAGCGGGACGAAGACTATTTGCAGAGAATATCTGTGTGTCTTAGTATTGATATATCGGAGATGATAGACAACCGCATCAACACTTTTGGCAAAATCTTTGCAGCTCATCAAGAGCGTGTGTAAATATTCTCACCTCGTCTTACAGTTTATTAATTCTCTATATTTCTTTCAGATCGGAGTCCTGGCGGAGGTCTATTTGGATCTATAGAGGACAAATACACTAGGGGAAGTAGGTTGTCTTTTACGGTTCCAAATAAATTTTTTGCCAGGAAACGCTCTGGATTAGAGAGACATCGCAAAAAGCACCAAGTTCCATATGGGTGGAATCCAGATTCAAATAGTCGCAATGATATCTATAAGCCCGAACGCTATACGAAATGTAGTGATAGATGTATGAGTGCAGTGCCGCCCAGGCCTAACCTCATGGAGTCTTACGAATGCCCGAACCAACTGAGCTTCGACCCTTATGAGCAACACTACAAACATCCTAGATATAAGCCAAATTATGCCAAACCGCCTGCTGAATGGGATTATCCTCCGGAATGGGACTCTCGAAATAAGAAGCGCTATGGAAGTCTGGAAAACACAAAATTATCTAACTCGTTCTATAAATGTGAATTTCCCAACAAACTCCACGATAGATCCTACAGCTCACACCCATCTGAATATCAAGATTACGCCGTAACCAAGCCAAACAGTATAGATAGGACAAGATTTAGACAACCCTCCGGCTATGCGAATTCAGAGCATTTGGAGGTCCCTTATCATAATCATAATCAGCGTGACTGCTATACAGACTATAATCCAAATGTAAAATATTCGCCAGACTACGACTCAGAGTGGAAGTACAATCCGATACCAAACGTAAGATATAACTATCCAGAGCCCGCATTAAGCTATGACTGCGATTACGAGTACAATCCCGAGCTGTATCGAAGGTCGCCCTATCAGAAGAAATCTGTGGATTTTCTTGGCGTCGATTGTGAAATACCCTACAACATACTAAAAACGAAACGAAATATGCTACGTACTCAGAGACAAAATTACGAATATCCAGAAAGCTTATCATGCTTTGAGCTACTCTCTGTTGATATTCCCTTTAAGGAAACGATGCCAAATCATATACCGAACTTTAACTGTGAGTATGATTGTGGTCGCCCAGAGTCCGGCTATGATTACTATGCTGCAGCTAAGCCGATGCCGCGAAATGTAGATTATGATTCGGATTTTATGCGTTCCAATTCGATTTGCCGGGGCTCCACAAATTACTATAGGCCACAGCGCAAACACCATAAGTCGCTAAAAGAAAAAATATCTGGCTTCTTTAAAAGGTCCAAATCCAAGGCTAGAATCCAAAGCAAACCTAAGCACCGACCCGATGGCAAGGAGCAGCGATCTATTTCAAATTTCAATAACCTTATAAGTCATAAGACCGCTGTGTCCAAGTCCGGGAGTAATGCATCCCGTATAACTTCGAGCTTTAAGAGTCCGAGATGCTTTCAAAGAAAACCTAGTTACGGCTTTACTTCGATTAGAAAGAAAACCAGATGCAACGTCTATCCAACGGTCTACAGAGTGACGCGAGGAAAGGTAAATAACACAGATGTTGATACTGCGAACGATGACAATATTAAAGGCTGCTGTGACTATTATAGGAAACCGGAGAGTATTGTACCTGCCGAGCGGATTACGGCTATTTCTAAAGAGGCGGGCTTTTCGTGCACAGCCAAAGCAAAGGCTTGTCACAGCTGCCACGGCTGTCACAATCGGGATGACCACATGGTTGCCTGCAGGAATCCAAATGAGAATCGGAATGTGAATTCAAAATTCGTTGAGGACAATCAAAGTCTTGCTAGCTCTACAATGGTTTGCTGTCACAAGAGTTCTGGGGGCCACAAGAAATGTAACGAGCCAGAACTCTCGTTTGCCGCAGTTAAACCTCAGGCCTCCTGTTGCAGCTTGGGTTTGTCTCCTCCAAAATTGTCGTGCAGCAGACAAAACCTAATATCGGCAGAGCCAAAATGTTTTCCCACCGAGCACAAAGTCTCCTTTGCTCAGTTGCATTCGGAGCAGCTACAGAAATGCGCTCCTTCTGATCGCAAAGTTTCCTGTATTCATTTGCATTCGGACAACCAGAGTATGAAATGCAGTCGAACAATTCCAGAGCCTTCGCTTTGCATGGAAGAGCTGCCGTCCTGTCCATATCAAATAACAGCGAAAAGAAATCATCTAGAAAACGACTACTTCAGCGTTCGCAACAACCAGTGCACAATTTCACCAGATCCAGGTCCCAATTCATCTTTAATCTGCATTCCAGAGCCCCCATTACCAGCGTGTAAGTGCAGTGAGCAAAATACAACTCCGTTTAACACCATATGTATAAAGAATTCCGCTCAAGAGCTGGCACCGCCAGCAGCCAACGCTGAGCCGTGTTCGATGCCAATTAAACTGGAGCCAGTTCGAGTCTGTTCAAAATCCCAATTGCCTAGACAAGCAGGAATCGGTAATTGCGCTCAGTCTAAGAACGATGCTCCATCATATGTGGAGGAATTGAAACGGGAGCTCTTAGCTGAGTTGGAAAAGGAACAGCGAATGAATGCACAGTTGCCATATCAGAATCCGACGCCACACATTATGGTATTCCCCACTCCACCGCCAGCCAACCCACTCTGTCCCATCTGCCCGGAGCCAGCTGCGCGCGACTGCCCCTACATGAAGTGCTGGCGGCCGCTCTAGAGCCCAACTCAATAAACAAACAATATATAAATCTTCTGCCATTAACATGTAGGTCAATATTGTATAATAAACGAACAAATCTATATACATATGCATATGCTATGTGTATATGTGTATAGGTGTATATGTGTGTATATAGTTGTACTCATCTGCTTGCATTCTAGTCAGCTTGGATCCCGATTGGAGCCTGTATGGTCAGAATGCCACTGATGCCCAGCTTGGCGCTCAGGACGGTGTTGGCGTGCTCGGGCAACTCGAACTGGCGAGAGACCACTTCGTATTGATCCCCGAGATCGCGATAGGCGCGCAATTTGACGCGTCGATCCCTCAGCTCAACCCTTATGTTTTGCAACGGGAACTCGTGCATGTCGAATTCCCAGCACAAATGCGTCTCCGTCTGCACGTAGCTGACGGGCTTCTGTTCGTCCAGGTCCATGACAACGGTATCCTCCTTCAGCTGTTGCAGCATCTGCGAGCATTCCAGCACCTGCTGCTCCAGCTTCCCTATGCGCTTCTCATACTGAAGGCGCATCACATCAAAGTGCACCATTTTGAAACTCGACTAATCGAAGTCAACTTGCCGACAGACGCAAAGATCCCAAATGCAAAAAAAAATTATCGATAATTTTGACAAGCTGCAAATGTCAAACGACAAGAACAACGAAAAACGATAGAAAAGTCAACTGCAACTACTTCCGAAAAAAAGCGTAAATTAAAGCGAAACGAAACCACAAATAAGTTGAAGAAATTTGTGAAAATTGATTTTCGCTCAGCCATGCTTCGTCAGCCCCAGAGAACGATAACCGTACCCGCGTGCATACGCCAGTATCGCGTTCTCCTGAAGATAGGCAACGGCACCTTCGGCGACATCCTACTGGCCGAGCACGTGAGGAGTGGGAAACGCGTGGCCCTCAAGCTGGAAGAAAATACTATGATTCGGCCGCAACTGATGTTCGAGTACAATCTTTACAAGGTGCTGATGCCGGCCGCTGGGGTGCCGCGCGTCCACAACTTCTTTCAGGAGAGCAAGTATAATGTGATGGTCATGGAGCTGCTGGGGCCGTCGCTGGAGGATTTGTTCAACTTCTGCTCGCGTCGCTTCACAGTGAAGACGGTGCTGATGCTGGCGCTGCAGATGATCGAGCGCATCGAGCATGTGCATATGAAGAGCTTTCTGCATCGCGACATTAAGCCCGATAACTTTACCATCGGCACCGACAGCAATGTCGTGCATCTCATTGACTTTGGCCTGGCGAAGCGATTCTACGATGCTGAGCTGCACGAGCACATACCCTTCAAGTGGGGCAACCGAATGACGGGCACGGCTCGCTATGCCTCCATCAATGCGCTCCTGGGCTTCGAGCTCGGCCGTCGCGACGACTTGGAGTCCCTGGGTTATGTGCTGATGTACTTTCTGCGCGGCAGCCTGCCCTGGCAGGGATTGACGGGGCCGCGCCATCAGAGGTACGAGATGCTGGCCGAGCGGAAGCAGTCCACTAAGCCAGAGGATCTGTGCAAGGGCTATCCCGATGAGTTCGCGGCGTATCTGATCTATTGCCGCAATGTTCGATTCGAGAAGCAGCCCAACTATCTGGGCTTGCGCCGCAGCTTTAGTGATCTCTTCGCTCGCCTCAGATATGTTCATGATGACGGCTATGACTGGTGCAGTCTGAAGGGTTACGCCCATATTAAGATTCCTGCCATCGAGAGCGCCGACATTAGCAACAAAAAGAAGAAGAAGAAGCAGAATAAGAAGAAGTAAAGCATAGAGTGCAGCCCAATTGTCTGAAATAAAATCCTTTCAATATATTGCAGCCATTTCTATGCACACCCAGGAGACTTGTAATAAATAAGGAATTTTCCTGTGTCCAGCAATCTCTGATTGCGAATCCATTTTGCAGCGTGTCAACTTTCCGAGCTGCCAATTCGAAATACACAATTGCAACTTTTCTAAAATGAGTCCAATTAACACAGCTCAGATTTGTGCAACGTTTGCATTTTACTCTCTCTCTCTCTCTCTCTCTCTCTCTCTATGGCTGCAGAGCACTCGAAGCATCTGCCAGAAATGTCTGTCAGTGCCAACATTGCAGCTGGAGCCGTGCTGCAATCGTAGCAAATGAAAACGTTGTAAACGCCGGCATCCAATTTACGTTTGCAATTAAACTGACACCGAACAGACACTTTTGATTTAGCCTGCAGTTTTCTGACCGCCCACGTACGCCCCATCTCCCATGGCGACCATATAACATGACATAATAACAGATCTGCTTAAGCCCAAACCCAAACTCGAACATAAAACGTCAATTGTTCTAGCTGTCACTCCATGAAGATAGATTTATTAATATGCATGCGAAACACACAGCCAGTCACCTCAATACCGGCCGACTATGATAGGACTTCTCCAGTTGGGCACGGCTGCCACTGGCTCTGCAGGCTGGCATGGTTGTCTCCATTACAACGACCATTCGACGGCATCTGAATATGTTCGTATAATCAGCCATTACGGAATTAACTAACAGACCTCTCCCGTTTCTGCTGGGAACAATTTTATATCAATTTTAGCAGCTAGTAGGCTTACTGACTCCGAAATTCTATATACAGGGCGACAAGCCCATGGCCAACCAACTCAGAAATCGTGTCAAGAGTTCAAAAATTCAGCGCCAACTTCTACTCTCTACAGTTGCTCTCTGGCAGCGTTGGAGTTGCCACTACAAATGCGCTCAGAAAATTGGGTGTAAAGCGCTGGCAAAAAACACAATTGAATGCAGCGCAAGAGCAAAGCTGTGTACCCTGTAATTCTGTGCAAGAATAGGGAAGGTTGCATGGTGGATGGGTACAAATAATATGAGATGATATAAGAATATGAATATTTTAATTATATTATTTGATTTAGATTTTAACGTTTGAGGAGGATTTTAATATATAACGGAGGTAGTTGGATAATGATAAAATTACATCAATTATCCATAGATATGATACAAGTATTTTTTTATGTTTTAAAAATTAATTTCGCATTAAATATACTAAAATTACAGATGGATATATTTGAAAATTTGGAAATAAGTTTAACTATATTATTTAGTTGTTAGTCAGTTGTGGCCTCAGTTTAGTCTTAGTCTGAAACTTAAATATTTTTTATCTA